TCGAAATTATAGATCACCCCTAATTGGAGATTATGAAACTAAATGAAAACTTAAGGTTTGATTATTTTTAAAGATTGTTATGCATAATAACTTCGATTATTGGTTAAAAACGCAAATATTTTATTTCGGAGTGATTTTTTTCAAGAGAGAGACATACACTTAGAATTATTTTCAAAGTTTTCCAAATGGCTCTCATATTTCGACGTAGTCTACTATACACACTTAATCACATTTACAAATATTTATACATTTTATTATTGAAAAACATATATTATTTTTGTTTGTTATGTATAATAAATACATATAAATCTAAAATTTATATAATTTATCATATGATTTATATTCTACACGAATAATTAAGATCAAATTTATATTTAAAAATATTGAAATAAATAACATTTGCATATATTTTGATCAATTTTAAAAATATAAAATTAAAACTAATGGTATTAACATATGTCTGATCAAAATTATTAAACTTTATTACATTTACCCATAAGACATATCATTTTTGAACATTTATAGTTATTGAAAATTATATGTTTTATCATACACATTTAAATATTTAAAAATTATATATGTAAAACCGAGTAGTCAACTTATTTAATAGTAGATACAGAAAATAGGAAGCACATGTAAAACTGTTTTAACTATGGATAACTCCAATGTTTTGTGTATGGTTTCAACTTTCAGGAATCATCTGTTTTATATATATTAACAAAAATACATGTGTTGCTATAACAAAAAAAATATAATGAAACTAAATTTTGCGGAACGCGCGGTTGCGTTTCCTAATATAAAATAAAAACAATTATTTAAAAAAAAACTGTAAAATATTATTAATCACACAATACAATAAACTTAAAAATTGCATAAAAATGTAAAAACCTCATGGATTTTGAAACAAAGAAACGCTTCCAAAACATCTTATTTTATGAAACCAAAGGGAATATTACACACAATAAGGGAAATAAAGGAAATATCCAGCTAACGCCGTCTTGATGCATTCGAGATAGAAACTTGACCAAACTTGCCTGATTCCAAATCACTTGATAACGCTCATTCTCTCACTGACTCGTAATGCCTTAGCCACACTCCAATATAAGCCTATGCAGAGCCACACGATACAATGAGCCGTGAGCAAAAAAAAAAAAAACCTTTTGATATATCAAAGATGTATGTATCTATGTATAATATATTACACATTAGCCGAAAAAAAAACCTCTTTTGGTCATTGGTCTATCTAAAAGTGTAAATATCTACGTATAAATGTATATATTACCAGTGAGCAAAAAAAAAACATTGTATAAGTAAACTCATTGATCTATGAAAGAGTTTATTTTACCTGTTGGGGTCTTACGATCCTAGTGTCAGGATCAATTAACGACTCACACCAGTGTGACAAGTATCCAGCCATACGCGCAACTGCGACGAACTCTCGTGGGATTTTCATTGCCCTGTGTTTTGTTTTACCCATTTCAATTACCAACACAAAAGTTTCAACAACTCATTAGCAAGAATTTGTTCGATTGACTCATCCATATCTTACCTATAGATCAATCCAGTGTAGAAATCAACATTTGGGTAAATCTTTCTCTTAACAAAATATTCGTCAGAGAGTGCTGCCTTCTCTAGAGCAATTGCTACCTGAAAACATCATACATCAAAATATTTCTTAAACCAAACCATCTACTGGTAGAGATAAAGTGAGCTCAAGGAACTTAAGTACCTCGATCAGAGGATCTTTTTCGACAATGGAGAACACTTCTTCCGCCAATTTCGTGATGAGTTTTGCTCTTGGATCGTAGTTTCTGTAAACGCGGTGTCCAAAACCTGATATCTTTCTCTTCCTGAGAGAAAAGAGTTTAACATTTTTTTTTTTTAATTACCGGAAGAGTTTAACACTAATGGACCAACTCATAACAATCAAGATATTTTTAGTCTTAAGATACCTATTCTTCACGCTTTCAATGAAATCTGGAATGTTTTCAACAGTCCCAATCTCTGATAACATCTTAGGCACAGCCTCAATTGCACCACTATGAAGTGGACCGTAAAGAGCTCCGAGAGCTCCCGCAACGACAGTGTACACATCAACACCACTATGTATAAACAAAATACTGATTAAAAAGAGAAATTCCTTAAAATACCAGTAATAGAAGTTTTTGTTCCAAACATAGCATCATTAATTTTGTTTTTCCGAAAATACCACAAAAGTTTATTTATTCTAAAATTACCACAAACACCAAAAATGGTTTATATTTAAATTTTTGGGTTTTGATTAGATTTAATGTTTTAAAAGTGTCAAGTTTAATTCTAATTTTGTGGTATTTTTGGAAACATAAAATATTAGCGGTATTTTTAGAAAAGAAAACTAATTGTGCTATTTTTTTAAACAAAACGTCAATGTCAATGTGTTAGTTTGGAGAATTCCCCGTTTAAATAATATATCTCATTATCAAACTCAGCGAATCTCTAATCATTGATAAGTACCTAGATGCAAGATGCCGAGCAGCAGCAGTAGAACAGTTCATTTCATGTTCAGCATGCAATATAAAGATGATGTCCAACACTCGAGCTAGCCGAGGATTCGGCTTGTAAGACCTATTTCCCCTGTTACAAACACATTTGAAGCTACTAGAAACGGACCTAAGCTGGTCTCTTCAAATGCAAGTGTTTTGAAACGACAAGCCTACATTGAATCCAGCATATAGAGGAAATTCTCTATATAAGAAAGGTTGCTCAAAGGAAGAACATGAGGCTTGCCTACCGTCTTCAAATAAGCAGCCACTACAATTGTTGGTGCCTGTAGACACCAACTAGTTCAGAGTCTGGTTATACAATTAAGGGACCAAATCAACAGACACAACAATACCTGTCCAAGAATACGAAAAATCTGTTTATCACAAACTTGTTTTGACTTGTACATATTGTGGCCCTGCATACAANGAGAATTTCCGTGAAATCAAGAACACAAAAATGAATTTTTGAAAAAAACATATCTTTATATAACTGACCTTGAGAGAAGGATTTGCTTCATGATGAAAGATGGAAAGTGTACTCATCGCGCTGACAATAACACTCGCTGGATGTGCATCATGAGGCATGGACTGAATGATATCCTGCGAAAACATTCGGAAATAAAGCTCAACTCGAATTGATGCTATTAAAGACNACATCAAGATTNTCTTACTATGCCTTGATGGGCATGACAAACATGGTTTACAAGCAAGACAAAAATTTAGACGCCATTGGTTTCATAATATAAGATGTTTGGGAAGTTTTTCTTTGTTTCAATTTTTTTTTTCACATTTCTATGCACTTTATATCTTTATTGGATATTGTGTGTCCAATAGAATTCTATAGTCTCTTTTATATTTGTTTGATGTTTTTATTGTATCTATTAAATGATATCTTTAAAGTAAAAATAATTTCTTAATCTCCACACTTTTAGCTAAAATCTTATATTTTCAAACGGATGGAGTACTTAAAAAGAAACCGTTTTCGAAATCCCTCTTTGGTTTGGAATTTAGACTAGTACGAAAATCTGTATGAGGAAAGAGTAGAAGAAGTTCACCAATACTCCTTGTGGCACTTTTGAATGCTGANAAACNGAAATCTCCCAATCAGCTAGCTGACTTTGAGAAGGTAAATTCCCATAAACTGCAAGAACAAAAACAAGATGAAAATTTTATATCCAATCAACGAGACTATGATCAAACATTTTGCTTGTCCAAATATTAAAGAAATAATAAGCAACATTAAGAAGAAGAAGCTACAAGATGATGATCAAGACTTACTAAGGAGATAAGCAACCTCAATAAAAGTACTTCTCTCAGCCAATTCTTCAATTGGATATCCTCGATAACGTAGGATTCCTTCATCTCCGTCAATGTAAGAAATGGAAGATCGAACAGGAGCCGTGTTGAAATAACCTGGATCGTATAACTTAATCCCCTTGTCATCTTTCCCCGTCGTTATCTGCACACCAAACATGTAAATCCATATCTAAGCTACACAATTTACAACAAAAAATTAATCGCTTCTAGTACTAATGAGACCAATAATTTGACATCAAAATTCAGATAACAAAATAAATAAGATTTATCAATTACAAACTCGTTAGATACCTTCTTGAGATCAACGGATTTAACGGTACCCTCCTCTGAGACTTGGACTTGATAATTCTTTCCCGTTCGTTCATCGAGAATCGTCAAGTTTCCCTTAAGGGATCCATGTGGATGTGGTGCAGAAGTCGTGTGAGCCGATGTGCACCATGACTCGATTGCCGGCAAGACCTGTCCTGATCCGATGGGGTCAGATACGGCCAAGTGGGCAGAGAGAACAGCTAATTGACCATTCACTTTCTCCAAAATTTCCATTTTCAGCTGAAAACAAAAAAAAATGAGTAGGATTCA